CGAGTCGAGTCGAGTCGAGTCGAGTCGAGTGCGTATGTGCGATGAGCGCGCGCCCACTCACTGGCTTTAGAGATGCATGAGAGGCAGAGACGCAGAGAGGCCGCGGTTGGCTGGCGGGCGCTTGACTGGCCGGTGCTGTCCTTTCCGTTGCCGCACGTCTGTCAGTGGACTCGTGGCTCGTGGCGGGTGGCTCGGATCTTCTTCGCATTCTTGCGTGGACCTCCTTGCTCCTCGTCCTCATCTCCCTGCTCCTCCTCCACCATCAACACAAACACGCCCAACGAGCCCATCGCCGTTCCCGCGTGCACCTCCCAGCCGTCCATCGCATCCGCCTCGCGTGCCCGTGCCAACCCAGCCAAACCTTGGCCTTTCGCATCCCAAACACTCGCGTGTGTTTCAGGTGACCGCTTCCCGTCTCTCCATCACCTCCGTTCGGTCTCCCCGCGACCTCGACGCTCCTCGACCGTCCTGGCAGTAAAGCGCTTATAAGGTACGTCTCATCTTGCTTGAAACCCCCGCCCCCGCCCCTTTCACCCCTCATCGCCCCCGTCTGCTGTTGGCCATTCGCCGTGCCACCGTTCGCACCCCTTGCCATCGACCCTCGCGCGCACCTGCTCGACCTGATCGCGATCCTCTCGCGCAACATCAACCGCTTCTTCTTGGGAAACGCCTTGCTGACTTTGCTACTGCTTGACAATCCAAAATCATGGCGGCTCGCATGGCCTTCAACACGCACGATTCTTCGTCGCCCTCGTCGTTCGCCTCTTCGTCCGCTGGCGCCTCTGCCTCGCTGTCGCGTTCCAATCCGAGTGCAGCAAGCCCGTTCGCAACCATGGCCTCGTACGGATCGTCTCCCTACGCCTCGACGAGCACCGGCTCGCAAGCCGACTCGCCACTCGACAAGATCCGCGAATACACTTCGAAAGTGGAGGATCTGATCGACCAGTACACGCAGCCCATCAAGCCGCATCTGCCGGCGCTCGGCCGCTTCCTGATCGTCGTCACGTTCCTCGAGGATGCGCTGCGCATCCTCACGCAGTGGAGCGACCAAAAGTACTACCTCCAGCGCCATCGCGGCTTCCCCTGGGGCATCAGCCACATCTTTTTGCTCGCCAACGTCGTCGTAAGTATACACGCAAGGACTTCTTTAGCATTTCCGGCGAGCATCCCGCGCTGACCCTGGTCGATGCTCTGTTTCTTCTTCGCTGTGACAGGTCATGTGTGCGGCTTCGGCAGCTGTGATCATGCGCAAGTACCCCGAGATGTCGGTGGGCGCGCTGTTCGGCGTGGTGGTCGTCCAGGGCTTCGGCTACGGACTGATCTTTGACCTCAACTTTTTCCTGCGCAACCTGTCGGTGGTGGGTGGCCTGCTGATGGTGCTGTCGGACAGCCTGTCGGCCAAGAAGAACATCTTTGCCGGACTGCCGAGTCTGAGCGAGACGGACCGCAAGATCTACTTCCAGCTGGCGGGGCGTGTGCTGCTCATCTTCCTCTTCATCGGCTTCATCATCCAGGGCGAGTGGACGCTGGCGCGCGTCATCGTGTCGGTGCTGGGCCTCGGCGCCTGCGTGATGGTGGTCGTCGGCTTCAAGGCACGCTGGAGCGCGAGCTTCCTCGTCATGCTGCTCAGCCTCTTCAATCTCTTTGTCAACAACTTCTGGACGGTTCACTCGGCGCACCCGTCGCGCGACTTCCTGCGCTACGACTTTTTCCAGACGCTCTCCATCGTCGGCGGTCTGCTCCTCCTCGTCAACATGGGTCCCGGCGGTCTCTCGGTCGACGAGCGCAAGAAGGTGACCTAAATTGCATCCTCGCATGCTCGGAGCAAGATGGGCGGTGGCTTGGGCAGTGCGTGGCCTGCTGTGCGAGGACTCGCCGGCATCACCACGCCCTGTGGAGCTGCCACCATCCAACCGAGGCGCAGCCAGCTGGGTCGGTTGCTTTGGCTTTGCGCGTTTCGACTTCACAGCCTCTCCTTCTTGTCTGTTCGCCAGCTCTTGCGCGAAAAAGCCAACACAAAAAGTTCCACGTTCTGAAGACAAGCCGTCCGCTTCCTTGCATGAGTGATTGATTGATTTTGGGTCCGATTAAAGACGGTTGCTTTTTCGGCGCTATTTTTCGCCTTTCCGAAAAGAGACGCAGGGGAAGAGGGCGGTGAGGGGGGACTACGTCACGCTGTGCCGAATCGAGTCCTATTTTCAACCCTGCCTTCGGTCGTGCCTGCCCATGTGGGCGAATTGAACTGCCGCGATCTGGAAGGCGTGGCGCTTGGTTCGGGAAGAACCGATCGTTAGCATCAAGCTGAGTGTGCTGTAGTCTCGGGTTGGGTTGCAGGGATCGAAGCGTGGGAGCTTTGCGCAAGGTCGAGGCCGGCCGTGAGGCGCTGCGCGATGAGACACAGGTTGAGCGGCTGAGTGAGAAGCGCGGATGCACCCCGGCCATTTTGGGCAGTCAGCCTGCAGCCTGCAGCACTGCACCACGAAGCTTCTTGCAATTTCCATAGGACGGCATGAGAGTCAAGGGTTCGGGAGGCCTTTTTTAGGCGCTGCACCGCCGCATTGCCGCTCCTTGGCAACCATACCGCGCCCCCTCTGCCTTTTTTAGGAAGCCGCACCGCCGAGTGACGTTCAGAGCAGCCGGCGTCACTGCAAGAGAGCATCGGCTCGAGACCGAAGCAGCGAACAGGCGCAGCGAGAGTGTGCGTCGAAAGCGACAGAAAGCGAGTCGCTCGAGCAAGAAGCTTCCTGGCTCGGAAACTGCGCATATGAGACCTCGTCTGCTTCACACGTGCCTCGCAGCCGGTCCTGGCGCTTCCGATCCTCGAACCGTCCAAGTCCCCAAGCGTTCCTTCCGCCTCTGCCGTTTCGCCGCGCTTCTCGAAAGCCAACTCCGGTCGGAGGAGGCTGCTGCATCGACTCCTACATCTCGACTCAATAAAAACCAGCGCTGCTGCATGCCTTCCCCTCCACACCCACGCGCGCACCCCCACAAATTCGCGCACAGTTGGAAGCTGCACACTGCATGCACCGCTCTACGCCACCATCACTCATCACTGGCGCTTCGTAGCATCATCCAACCGCACCACGCCTGCAACCTCGTGACTCAACCACGAAACTTTGGCGCCTTGCCGAATCTCCCGAACGGATCGGGCCACTCAGCAGCCTAACGCCCCTTAACTCCTCCTCCCGCTGCAGGCATCGGCACGCCTTCTCGGCTCGACCGACTGACTCGGCTCGCATCGGCCTGGCCCCCTTCCTGCCCACCTTTCCGAGCCGACCGTACAACGCCTCAGTCATCCGCTGCGACCACTCGACATTCCATTCTTCGCTGCGAGCGCCGCGTGTGACTCAAAAGGGGAGCTCGAAATCACAGCCACCCTTGTTGCTGTCTCGCTGATCGATTCTCAACGCGCCTCCGTCCTCATCTCCACCACCTCCTTCTCATCCGACCGATAAGCTTGCAAACCATGGCTGTGCCTTTAGCAGTTCCTGCTAGACACGACCCCAAGCAGTCCATCATGGAAGGTCGATCGCCTCTCACACCCACCGATCTCGGCCTCAACACATCCCTGTCGCCATCCAGCAGCATGGCTCGCCTCTTTGGCAGCACCTGTGCGCTCACCATCCTCAAAGGCGACGCCGACCATCCCGTCAATGCTCGTGCACCCATCCACCAGAAGGAGCGCGCATCCAAACCATCGACACCCGCCACGAACCCGCCACGCTTCGCCTCGTCCTTTTCCAGCCTGCGTTCCGCATCCAACGCCGCCTCCTCGGGCTTCGACTCCACCGTCAACGTCCACGCCGTCGCAGATCACGGCATCCTTCTCCCCTTTCTCGACCGTCCCACCGAAGTCAAGGAGCTCCTGTTCGACACCAAGGCCAACGAGGCTCTTATGTACCGACTCTGCCGCGTCTTTGGCGGCGACCCCGAGCGTCCCACCCAACGCGGCTACGACGAGCGCTGGGATGAGATGCTCGAGCTCCTCACCGAGCTCGATCGTCCGCTCCTGGACGACGAGGATTGGCTCGTCCGTCTCGAGTCGCTCGTAATGGAGCGTTCCCCCGAGCTCTGGGCTCAGTTGGCGCGCTGCCTCGGCGCAGAGGGCCTCACCTTGCACCCCTCGGCTCAGCCTGCCTCTTCCCGCTTCGACAGCTGGGCGCTGCCTTCGAGATACTCGCTCGGTCGCGACAATGACAGTCCACTGTCCGCTCCATCTCCCAGCTCTAGCAGCGGCGACGAGGACCAAGGTCACCGTCAGCGGTCTCTCTCGGTCAGCGTCGAACCCCTTGATAACCTGCCCCAATCGTTCTCGGAACAGCCTGCGGGAAGGATGCATTCGTCGTCATTGCGCGACGCGCCTTCATCTATGGAAGCCAACGAATCGTCGTCCCCCGCAGAACCTTTTGCCATGTCGGCTGGCGACGAGTCTGGTGCGCCCGGCTCGCTCGAAGACATCATGGAGGAGCCTAGTCTTGCCGTTCAAGCCGGCCGAAGCGCAACCCGACGACCCCGCTCGCACTCGGGCAAGTTTGCAGGCCTTCGCATCTCAGCCATGACCTCTGTCAGTCCTCCTGCCTCCCGACGAACCTCAGTCACCTCGGCATCGCTAGCTGCAGATTCAAGCCGAGATGCCTCGCCACTGCCCACCGGCGAGATGTCTCCTGCAGGTCTGGCTCCGACCAGCCCCGCTCGCTCCCCTTCGCGCGGTCCTTCAGCTTCCTTCTCCAAGCACCGCAGGCTCAGCACCATGATGATGCAGAACAACACGTCGCAGCAGCCCCGCTCGTCCCACGACTCGAGCCCGCTGATGTCGCCCAAGGCAAGCATTGGCCGACGACAACGTGGAGTGAGCGAAGCGACCGTCGGCGGAGCTCTTGCCGGCCATCAGCACAGGCAGCCGCGCCGCCGCGCCCAGAGCTTTGCACGCTCGTTTGCCGAGCTCAAGTCACCCACGGAACATCTCGAGCAGCTCCGCGCCGATCACGCCCAAGCGGAGGCCGACAGGCTCGCCGATGACACGCGTCGCATCAGCCTGCAAGACGGCAACCTTGCTCAACCGGGCCACGCCGAAAATGTCACCTCTGGTGCCCTCGGCCTACACGGCGACAGTCTCAGCGTGCCGAAGGAGGGCAAGCCCGCAAAGGCCGCCACCCGCCGCCACAGAGTCGGAAGCATGGGCAGCCGCACCAGCGTCAGCAGCATTGGGTCCACGTCCCCGTCCCTCCCCGGTCTTCTTCCCGACGGCCGCACACGTCATCCCTCGGGAAGCTTCGGCTCTCGCGACCTGTCCGAATCCATCGCCGCGTTCCGCGCCACGATGGGCATGTCGACCTCGCCCGCATCCAGCGAGAGCAACTTTGCCGAGAACGCCGACACGTCGTCGGACGCCGAAAAGTCCACCAGCTCCGCCGCTCGCAAGCGCAAGGGATCCGGCGGCGCCGAGCTGCCCAAGCCCACCTCGCGGACTGCCGAGACAGGCGAGGCAAAGGTCTCGCGCACGGGCTCGCCTCGCAACAACGAGCAGGTTCAGGACCACCTGCAGCAACCCAAGCATATGCAGGAGCTCGAGAGCCGCAACCGCGCCGCCAGAGGAGGAGGCAGCGGCCTGGCGCTCGGAGGAGGCTTCTCGTTCGCAAAGTCGGGCGCCAACTTCCGCGCAAAGACCCACGACGACGCGCCCACATCGCAGGCCGGCTGGCGATCCAGCTTTGCCCGCCGCGATGGGCCGCGCTCGCGTGGTGAGCCGTACTCGTACCGCTCGCCTCCGGCAGTGCATCGCCGACCGGGAGGATTTGTCTCGCTGGCTCAGGAGTACGAGAGGGCGAGGAGCGGGCGACGGGCAAGCGAGAGCGTCTTTTCGTTCAACAGCAACGCCCTCGACAGCTCGCCTTCGAGCAGCCAAGCCAGCTTTGATCACGCGGGCGACGGATCGATGCCACGCGCGCGACAGGCAAGCTCGGAGGATCTGATTCCACGACTAGAGCTGACGGTGGCGCCGGATAGCGGCGAGGCCTCGACGAGGAAGGGATCGACCCCGGACGTTGGCAAGGGTGAGCCTACACCCAAAGCTGCTCCTGGTGGTGGCATTACGCCGCGCGCATCGTTCACGACGTCCAAGCCGCCAACCCGGGACGCGGGACTTGGCTATCCGTTCCCCAACCTGCTCTCACGTCGAGCACCGAGCGAGGAGCTCAAGGGCGACTCTTCGTCGACGCTCGCGCCTGCGACGCCGCTGAGTCCACTGCAGGCGTGCCACACGCACCTGGGTGCGACGCCGCCGGCGCCGCGAGCCAGTCCGCGTTCGCCGAGCATCGTGTTCCCGATCTCGCCGAATCCGGCGCTGTCGCGCGCGCGCGAGTTCAGCCGCGCCGTCGAGACACCGCGCTGCCAGGACGCCTTTGCGCGCGTCCGCAGCGTGTGCGGCGACGATACGGCGAGCGGCATCCGGGCGCTCATCACCACGGCGGAGCGCGCCGAGCTGCCGGACGAGAGCCTGCTCGAGGAGGTGGCGCACCGCCTCGGCCTCGTCGACCACGAGCGCGCACGCATGCGCGGCGGCCACGAGGCGGAGGACGCCGACGTCAAGCTCGCCGAAGAGGGATACGCAGAGCGATGGCACGCCTTCGCTGACCTTTGCTCGAGCCTTGGCGTCGGACAGTACGAACTGTCGATGGCCAAGCGCAGGTGCGGTCCCGCCATCGACCTGTGTGGCTGAAGCTTTTCTCACCTGGAGTCCATTGACAAATCGCACACACGTAGCCACACACACGAAGTCACACACACACGAAGTCACACACACACGAAGTCACACACACACACGTAGTCATACGCACACACGCAGTTATACCCGCACTCGCATGCAATGCACTTTTTCGATTTC